CACACACACACACACACACACACACACACACACACACACACACACACACACACACCTCCGGCCCGTGTCCCGCCGTGCTGATTGGTCGGGGGAGCTGTCTGTCGACGTGCTTGTGAGTGCGGCGTGCTCAGCCCGGTGTGTAGCTGATGCTCTTGGCTGTGTAATTCTGGAAGAGCGGCTGCAGGAACATGCCCATGGTGCCGAACACGCACACGAACACAAAGATCCACAGGAAGAGACGGTCGATCACCATGGCCACGTACTTCCAGTCCTCGCTGACCTGTGTTGTGGGACGACAAGAAGCGGGTTGAGATTTATCAACCTGTTTTTATCTGTGAAGTTGTCTGTAGAAAGATTTCAACCTTATTTAAAAGCAAAAACTGTACAAATGTTGTATTACAGTTTAATTTATCCTTATATTTCATATTGTAACTTAATTTGGGCTAGCACTTATCCATCATATTTACAACCAATTCATAAAAGCCAAAAAATCATCAATATTGATGAGCCGACACCGCCTCCTATCAACATGAGCTGTGACACCTCTGATGAAGACGGAAGTACTCGTTGAAACATGTCAGGTTTGTCTGTAGAGACATAAAAATAACTAAGTGTCTAGTAACTAGGAAAAAGTTTTAAGATATAGATAGTGCACACAAAACAAACACAAAATTAACACTGACTAGCCATAATATGACTACTAATAATAAAACTATAATATAAAGAATTGTGCAAGGATAGACAAAGATATGTTTTGTTTTAGAGACAGTAGACCAGAGGTGCCCAAACATTTTACCTGAGAGGGCCAAAATGAAAATCTATCCAGGGCTGCGGGCCAAATGCAGTAATATAATACATGAAACACAAATACTTTTTAAAGTAAAGTCCTTTATTTTTAATGATTAAGCTGTGAAATGGCCCTCTTTTGTTTTAGTCATGCACTTGGAGAAAGTCTGCCWTACGTTCAAGTAGCAAAGGCTCATGGGACATTTCATAAATGGATAAAATATGAGTTTTTGTGGCCTTATAAAGTGTGTAAATGTACATGTGGGGTTAAATCTGATCTAAATATCTCTGGTTGTCATTTCATGTTTCATGTTTAATCCTAATAAATCAAAGAWAAAGTCAGCACCATGAATGAAAACTACCTTCAGCCCTTTTATAGTCATTTGACCAATGGAAACACTGTTTCTACATAGGATGACAGGTTACAACCTTGTAACTTTGGCAACTGTTGGTGGGCCAAATCAAATGGCTTGGTGGGCCAAATTTGGCCCATGGGCCCCACTTTGGGCTCCTCTGCAGTAGACTATCAGAATCCGACATTAGGAACCAGAAACTGCCTGTTTTCAGTGTAAAAAACAATCTCAACAGACTAATGAGTAAAGTGAAGAATCACCATGCAGACAAGAAACACAGATGTGCAATTACAGCAGAGTTTTTTTTTAAGGTTTAAAATGGGTAATAACAAAGCAGGTGATTGCTCAGATTATTTATTGTGATTTTTGTGCGTGGTGCTGATTATAGAGTCTGACAGCTGCAGGGAGGAAGGATCTGTGGTAACGCTCTTTTGTGCACCACCTAAATTACCTTTATTCTCTCTAGATATTGAGGTGAAATAACCACGTCTTCTGGTTCAAGTGGAACTGCTGCTGCTCAGTGAAGAGAGAAACTCTGAAACAGGCTGGTTGAACAGCAAGAATCTTTATTTTGCAGTCCAGGAGATCACAGCCAAAAACCAAATTATGGCCTTCAATGCCAAATGATTCACCAAGTAAGAAAGATGGAGAACGAAGGCCAAGGGTGGGGGCGTACAAGGCTCTTTGTAGGCTTCACAGATGTACCATAAATTTTGTCACGGTATACCTTCTTCCTAATATGGTAATATGTGCCGAGCTCTGAAGCTGGAAAACCAAGAGACATCACATCTGTGCATTCCTGAGAAGAGGCCTCCACTCTTGGACACTACAACATCCTGTCCCTGACACCACTACCTAAAATTAACCATCAACCCTGATCCCTAATATTAACCACAGACCCCAACTCAAAGACTCCTATATTTTGCGTCCTGACGTGTCAAAATAAGACTCAGAGGGAACCTAACCAAGCATTAATGTGACGAGTTGAGAGTGAGCATGTGTTAAACTTTAGTGAAGCTGTAGCTGAGAGTTGTTCACAAAACAGACTCAAATATCAACTCATTGCAAAAGAACTTTGAGTACAACTTGAGCATTAGCTGCTGGAGCTGTAACTGTTTGTCTCATGAACCAGCAGATAGATTATAAGGAAATTTTGAGAGAACAAATTATTGGATGCATCTTTATAACTTCTAGACTTGTGGAGTCAATCAGCATTATCAAACAGAAAAATGTCTATAACTCTTTCAGTCGCAGAGTCGCTTGGTGTGGTAGTAGCTGAGAGTGGTTCATCTCTCAACAGTGACTGATGTGAAATGTTATTTTCAAAGGGCTGACTGAAACGTGCACAGCCCCACTGTTTCTCAGATGAGTCTAACTGTGGTGTGAGAGGCAGCAGGCGAGACGCAGCCCTCCTCCACCCAACCCTCCGCCTGCTGCCACCAGGAGGGTTAATGGAGGTGAATGGTTAATGCGAGCGGAGACTCCTCCTGGCCCACAGCTCTGATGAGGTCTGACACGAGTCCACGAGAAGGAGAAGCACGTGAGGGACGGGTGAGCTGACGTTTGAACCCTGGGAAGATAACTGGAGGAGGGATGGGGGAGGGAGCCGACGGCAGAGGAACTTAGAGCGGATTGTTCATTCCTGAGTCGATTTCTCTCATTCCAGAAAAGGAAGCTTGCTTCTCTGAGACGCCTCGAGGCAAAGCAACAAAAACAGCCACCCTCAGTTCATCGTCTCAGCTCTGCAGCTCGTTCCCTTTCTTTATGCACACGTCACGCTGCTGCTATAACTGCATATCTGTGCTCGATGGTTACTGGGCCGTGACTACGTCATCGTGTCTGTCTGCTTCGCTCTGTGTCCATGTACGCCTGGTGCTTTAAGAGGCCAGAGGTAAATAACAGTTAAAAACCATGATACGGGACTCAGCTGTGGAAGGGATGAAGTAAAACGAGGATGACTCACAGCAGAATTTATCCACACACAGACAGGAGGACTTACACAAGCTGGTGCTCTCAACACAACACACTGAACTGTGCAAAATATATTAGACTTTACTTTGAGTGAGCCAGACTCATTTTATTCTCTTCACCAGGTTTTGGTCTGTTTTTTCATCCTGTGACAAACGCAAAAGTGAACTCTGCTGAAGATGGTATTTAAAATTTAGATTCAAAATGTGTAAAGTGAAAACAATATAGATCAGGGGTGGGCAATCCTGGTCCTGGGGGGCCGCAGCCCTACATGTTTTACATGTTTCCTGCTCCAACACACCTGATTCAGTCACTGAACTACCTCTTCATGTTCTGCAGTATGGAGGACCGACACTGACATTATTATAAATAAAAGCATAAAGAGATAAATGAACCTTTAAATAAATAAATACATTTAAAATGCACCAAATCAATTAAAAAGGAGAAAGTTACCTCATGTTTTATCATTTAATTGACCTTCATATTTGTTTTTCCAGCTTAGTTCCAATAAATTATATATTTTAACACATAATTACATTTAAAAGTTTTTAATTTATATTTTACATAGTTTTTCCTTTTACTTGTACATGCATATGTGTCTCCTGAATGCTTAAATTGAATTATTTTAATAATTTTGTCCAACAAGTCTTTTTATTTCTACATGTTGCATGCTTGTGCTGCTGCAGTTTAGCTTAAAGTTTACTGTATTTATTCATGTATGATACTAAACATTTAACCCTAGAAATCATCCATAAAGTGGGGGGATATTATTATACACGGGTTATTCATAATTCGATTTTTATGCTTTGTAAGCTCAAAAAATGATGATCGTATTATATTCGAGATCGTATTATACGTGAATAAATATGGTAGTTAAAAATAAATGCACAGGTAATGTTTTCCTCCTTGCCTTTGTTTTAAACTAAACTTTAAACTTTTTTAGCTAAAGTGAGGCAGAAGTAAAAAGACTTGTTGGAAAAAAATACAAAAATAATTAAGTATAAACATTTAAGACACACAAATGCATGTACAAGTAAAAGGAAAAACAATTAATATATATAAAAACAGTAAAATGTAAATTATGTGCAAAACTATATTAGTTGTTGGAACTAAGTTGGAAAAATAAATACGAAGGTCAATTAAAATATAAAACAGGAGATAAAGTTCTCCTTTTTTAATTTAATTGATACATTTTAAGTGTATTTATTTAGTGGTTCATATAATTCAGCTTTTATTTCTAATTATGTCAGTTTTGGTCCTCCATACTACAAAAGCCTGATAATCTCTATTCATTCATATCAGCTGTGTTGGAGCAGAGGAACAAGTAGAACATGCAGGACTGACCAGACCTGCTGCAGACTAACATAGTTACCTGACTGTGGTAAAAACTTGAACTGTGTCTGAAAAATACATAAAACCTCCCCTTCAACATGAAGAGTTTATAATTTATATAAAACTTACTTCTTATACATGAGCACTATTTTATTATTATTATTATTACTGTTAGGGTTCTGTTAGAGTTTTAAAATCAGTGAAGAATAAATAAAAGTATAAATAAATAAAAAAGTATAAATAAATAAATAAATAAATAAATAAATAAAATAAAATAAAAACTGGTGACCCTGATGGAGGTCAGCAGATTTTTACAGGAAAGAAGTATCACTCACGCTCTGATCATCGTCCTCGCTCTTCATGTGGTTGGCGATGAAGCGCACTCCCTCCACAGCCTCATCGAAGCCCGGACAGGCCTGGGCCAGCAGGGCCTGAGTCAGGGCGGGACCTCCAGCCCCCTGCTTCCCCCTCTGCAGGTTTCCGGCTCCGCCCTCCCGGGCCTCCCTCACCCTGTTCAGGCCGTCCATCGATCCCCCTCCGGTGCTGGACAGATCCCCTCCGAACTGTTTGACCGAGGCCCGGTTCACGTAGCACGTACAGGGCTCGCCGTCGTCTTTGCCTAACACCGCCGTGGAGGTCCCCCCGCCGTTTCCGCCGGTGCCGCCGAGCCCCAGGCCCACCATCAGGCCCCCTGGCTCCCCACTGCGCCCGCCCTCCTTCTGCTCCTGAGCCCTCCTCCTCTGGCGCAGCCGCTGGCGCTCGCTGCTGTTCCTGGGCTGGCGCATGAAGAGCAGGGCGGGCAGCTTGTTGAGGAACACCAGTTTGACCCAGGGGGGCATGGTGTGCGTGGTGGGGGAGCGGTGGTGCACGTTCAGCACGCACACGCTGGTGACGATGGAGAACGTGACCAGGACCATGGTGAACATCAGGTACTTCCCCACCAGGGGGACGTCCAGGGACGTGGGCGGGACGATCTTGGAGATGAGCAGCAGGAAGACGGTGAGGGCGAGCAGCACCGAGATGCAGAGCGTCATCTTCTCGCCGCAGTCGGACGGCAGGTAGAAGACCAGGATGGCCAGCGACGTGATGAGGACGCACGGGATGATGAGGTTGATGGTGTAGAACAGAGGCTTCCTGCGGATGATGAAGTCGTAGGTGATGTCCACGTAGGCGGGGTCGGCCGGGTTCTCGTTCCGCCGGCCCGGCAGAGCGATGATGTCCCACTCGCCGCTGGGCGTAAAGTCGTCCATGCTGGCCACGTCGGCGCGCAGCACCAGGTCGATCTCGGTGCGATCGTAGGTCCAGGAGCGGAAGCGCAGCGTGCAGTTCTGCTGGTCGAACGGGAAGTGTTTGACCTCGATCTTACAGGCAGATTTGTAGATGGCAGGTGGCAGCCAGAAAATACTGCCGTCGTAGGACACCACGGCGTTCGAGTAGAAGGACACCTCGTACACGCCGTCAGCGCTAAGAGAGACGACAGAAACAAGAACAACACATAAATTAAGACATCTGGATCCACAGGAAGACAATCCTTTTTTTAGTTTAATAGTTTATTCATTTTGATTAAAAACAAAAATTTCAATACAGGCAGATTTGTAGATGGCAGGTGGCAGCCAGAAAATACTGCCGTCGTAGGACACCACGGCGTTCGAGTAGAAGGACACCTCGTACACGCCG